GGCCGAATCGAATCAGGACAGTGATTCGAATCACCGAATTGAATCACTGTCCCCCGAATCAGCCGAATCTGAAGTGAATACTAGCCACTTCGCACAGGCCTAAAGGTTTCCCAGGACACATTTATAACTAAATGGCTTCCCATTAATTTTTTTTAACAATTAGCAGAAAAAAAGGAAGTTGAATTAATAGTGCTGTCCTTACTTAGTTCAACCAGCTAATTTTTTAATTAAATTTTTCCTTAAGAGGAAAATAAATCATGTAGTTTAAACCTTGATTTTATTCATTTGGGGAGGGAGAGATAAATAAATTAAAAGAAGTTTGCTGCTGTCCTCATTTTCCAGAGATAATCTGTACTATCCTGTAGTAGTGTATACTATTTTCTAATTTAAGCATAACTTGTCATCTTCATAGAGTGAAATGGTCCTCTTATCCACAAAGCGTTATCCTAATCAGTTACCAATCAACCTGACCTGATTACACTTCAGCTGGACTTTAGTGGAATGCATGTACAATTAAAGCTTAGGCCTCCAATTACCTTCTTTCACATTTTAATCTCTCTATACTTGGTGAAGTTTTAAAAGGCACTTGTTTTCTTTATCTAGAGCAATGAATGACATAGGGGATTACATAGGTTCCAACACTGAAATATCCTGGTTACCCAATCTGGATGATTTGATGAAAGGATATGCACGGAATTTCAGGCCTGGGATTGGAGGTAAGAGTTTGATTTATGTCTCTTCTGATTTCTAAAAAATTCTTCACTCAAGCTAACAGCAAAAATGTATGTGAACCTCTGTGCTTTGCCAGATAAAAACACACTCAAATCAAGAGTTTGTAATTGCCTTGCTCTTGGACAGTAGAAATAACAATAAGTACTTGCTTGTGTCAGCCTTTGCAAAGAGCCTGAGGCACTTTGCAGTTCAGGACAATTAATACAACCTCAGACAAGTTTTGTTTTTTCCATTTTGGTTTTGAATTTATGTTTGTACTGCCAAAGTTTCTCAGACCTCACCTTTCTCCTTCATCTGATGTACAAGTTGTCGGGATATCACCATGTACGGATGCAGACCTCTGCGTCCCATTGACATTCACTTGCCATTCTTATGCTGGATAGATGCCAGTCAGTCAATTAGGTCAGTGCTCCTCTCAGTTCTTGCCTGCCATGACTCGATGAATTGATTGAATTGGGGAGGGGTGATGACTCTCTGACCCGGAGCTGACTGCCACTCGTCAAAATGTAAGGAGGGGCAAAAGGAAACAGTAAGGGCGGTACTACAGGAATTATGGCAAGCCAGGCTTACAGCCAGCCCAAAGAAATGGGGTGAGGGCAAGTCACAGCTGTGAGCTAGGCTCTGTCTGCCCCCTTCCTCTGCATCTTGCTGCTGCCTCTGCTTTGAAAGCAGCACGGTGCCATGCAGCAAGGTACATGGCGTTGCGCCACACCACTTGTAAAGCAATGGCAGCAGCAAGACACAGAGGCAGGAAGCAGGCAGAGCCTAGCTCGCAGCTGTGGCCCGCCCTTGCCCTGTGCAAAGATCGGGGGGCCACATGCCCCCCACTTGGCTCCCCGGCACTGTGCCCCTGGAGGAGCCACTGGGCTCCAATTGTCTCACAACCCAGCCGAGCCGGGGCCCCATTCACAGTGAATGGGGCCCTGGCCAGGTTGGGTCAAGGGACAATCCCCGCAGTGCAGAAGGGAGCAGGGCAAGGGTGAATGATTTGCCCTGCACCTACCCCACTCTCTCCTGCCCTACTCCGAAGGCCAGGCAGTGATAAAGACTGAAATAAAAACTTAACTGCCTGCAGCTGGGCCAGCTGTGATCCTAGCTCCGAGTGCTCAGGGTATCTGAGTGTGCCCACCCCTCCCCCCTGCTGCAGCAGCCTGCGGCTGGGGTGCACTACAACCCTACCTGCTGACCTGAGTTTGTGGGGGCTGAGCCTGGTTAGCCCTCCTGCCCTTCCGCCACCTATGCCCACAGGGTTCAGTTCTTGGTCCCATGCTGTTCCGCATCTTTATCAATGATTTAGATGAGGATGTGGAAAGCACCCCTGCCAACTTTGCAGATGATACTAAGTTAAGGGGAAAAGCAGTCATGCGAGGGGATAGGATGTGGTTCCAAGCGGACCCGGACAAGCTGGACGGGTTGGTAGAGTGAAACTGGATGCAGTTCAATAAGGATAAATGCAGAGTGCTTCACCTGCAGAGCAGTAACCAGCGACCTCAATATAGATTAGGAGGAGATGTTCTGGCCAGCACGATGGCTGAAAGGGACCTCAAGGTTATGGTTGATCACAGGATGAACATGAGCCACCAATGCAATGCAGTAGTCAACAGACCTAATAGCATACTGGGATGCATTAGCTAATGCATCGCAAGCAAAGCTAAGGAAGTGATACTTCCTCTCTACTTAACATTGGTGAGACCCCAGCTGGAGTACTGTGTCCAGTTCTGGGTGCTGCACTTCAGAAAAGACGTGGAGAATCTTGAAAGGGTCCAGGGAAGGGCCACAAGAATGATTAAGGGTCTGGAGGACAAACCTTATGAGGAAAGACGAAGGGATCTGGGACTGTTCAGCTTGGGAAAGAAAAGACTGAGGAGGGACTTGGTGGCCATCTATAGGGTGAATATCGGGAGCTGGGAGAAAAACTGTTCACTAAGGCATCCTGGGGAAGACAAGGAGCAATGGTCATAAACTGTTAGAAGATGGTTTCAGGTTGAATGTAAGGAAGAACTTCTTACAGTAAGGGTGACCAGAATCTGGAATAGTCTTTGCAAGGAGGTGGTGCAGTCCCCAACCTTGGAAGTCTTCAAAAGGAGACTGGATAAACACCTTGCTGGGATCATTTGATCTCAGCAGTATTCCTACCCAGAGCAATGATCTTTTGAGGTCCCTTCCAGCCCTTAATGTCTATGATTCTGTGATTCTTGAGTCTGTCAGAATCAGAAGCAAAGCAAAACGTAGTTGATGTAAACACACTATGGGGTGATGGCAAGAATATTTTCATGATTTCCTGCACAGCAAGTCTGTTAAGTTTTGTCTTAAAAATGAGAGAAGGTCTAACCCACAAATCTTGAAACTGCATCCAGTCTCAGGGCACTCCAAGGGTTGAGGGTTTCAGGGTTGATTCAGGTTCTTTACTGTTAAAAAAGAGGGTGTTTCAACCATGTGAAACAACAAATGGTTCTATGAGTGTGGGTCAGGAAAGACACTACGAAGTCAGGCACCATGGTAATGATCACAATATAAAACCTACCAGTGTATGAATACCAAGCAGTTCTGGAAATGTATAGACTTTGGTGTTACTCAGTACAATAAAAGCAAAACCACTCTGGACTCTTCAGGTCCAATTTGACTGAAGCATATTATAAGCAAATATAAATTCAAATGTGACTAGTGATTTAGATGCACAATTGAGAAACTTTGGATAAGCCTAATTTTAAGAGTGTGGATGCTCAAGCACTTTGTTAAAAGCAGACTCCTTCAGGAGGTCTGAAATTGAGTTCCCCACAATGGAAACATCAAAAATAACCACTCAGTTTTATAATCTTGCCAGTCTTGTATCTGGCCTGCAGAGTTTTAGCTGCTGTTCCTAGCTCAGGAATTAGAGGCCTTTTTTCCTCCTATTTGAGCAGGTCCAAAGATTAGAGGAGGACCATGTGTATAGAGTGATCAGTATATGTAGACACTGGAGTCTTTGCAGATTTGCAGCAACATACTTAGATAATAGGCATTTAGAAAGCATTGGGCAACTGCAATTTCTAGTGTTCCTTCCGAGTGATCATGAGATCTCCATATACAAAACAGTGAATTTAATGAAGCATGTACCCATATGGAAGGAAAGTCTCAATCTCACAAAGGCAGAGAAAATTCTATGGGGAATATAGATACACTGGCAATTTATTCATGTTGTAATCACTGGTAACTGGCAGTCTGGTAAACTGGAATGTTATTTTCTTCCTGAAGCAGCTAATTTCAAAAGTTGTGAAGTTTTCTTATGTTAGATAATGTTGGAGAGATTACTTCCAGAGAACCTTATAGCTGAATGCTTAACTA